GAAATTATTTTGGACCTAACATATTCTCTCTTTTTCTTCTTACCAGATTATGACGTTTTAGAGGACATAGCAGGAGAGTATAAAAGTCAAGAACGAACAAAATACCCGTGGCATAGATGTCTTCAAACCGAGTCATCAGTTCTCGGAACCTGTTAATCGAAGCAGTGGTGTTCGCACCTTCAGTTCACACATTCAAGAGAAGACTAGACACTCATAGAAGCATGCTAGGAAAGGATTAAAATAGGCCATATGCCTTCTGTCCTTACTACACAAATCTGAAATCTGACTCTGAATTATTGGACATTGCAAAAACTGTCGGTTGACCTTGGTGTTCTATCAGCGCTCTGTTGGAGTGACAAGGAACACGAGTCGAGAGTTAACTTGTTCCATTTTTTAAATAAATACTACTATCTTAAAAAATCAAGACCTCTCACTCTATAAGGCTAATTCAGACATTTAATTTAAGTTAGTTTTTGTCAAATAGCTGACTCGTATCTAAGAGAAGTCTATGGGCTTTAGTTTCCTTTTTTTTATGACAAGTGTAAAGATTGAAATTAGTAGAGTATGTTGGGTGAATTTATCCAGTTTCTACAAGCCTTGATTTTCACATTTTATCTGATTCCAGTTTTGATGGAAAACAAAGGAGTTTATTTTTAAACGCTTGGTATCCATGTTAAAGCTACTTATCAGATAATATTGTAGCATTTCCTGAAGGAACAAATCGTTTTTGTAAATAAACATCACTCGTTTGCTTAAAATTAGTTCAAAGTCATCCGTATTTGTTTACTCCATTGGCTTAAGTTCAAACCGTCTTTTTTGCAAGAGTAAAAAGTACTTCATAACTTATATCAAGCTCGTTTCTTATGTTTCCATCGAGTAGTTTTTTCTTAGGCTTCTGCCTCAATCTCATTTGTCGTAAGCGTTAATGTTTAGCACAGTAAACATTGTCGATCTTAGTTTTAGAGCTTGAACCAATGTGGTCTGGAGCAGTTGGACTCATGATTTTACGACAGCTCCTTTAGTAGACAGCTTCAAGAAAGTACGGCGAGACTATATTTTATGGACAAACCAATCAGCTATAAAAGTATAGGTCTCGGATTTGGGTGCGAAACTCACTCGTTCATCTGTCTAAATAGCGTCTTGTCATTTTAGCTGATGTCAGTTCGTGATGAAAAACCGAAAGTCTAATTTCTAAGCATCAACTGTGAATCATAATCCTTATTCTTCAAACTGCTTTATAACCCTCATTTATCTCTAGTAAGTAGGTAGACACTCAAAAAGTCACTTTGTCGCCCAAATGTCGTCCATAAATTATAGTGTCACTGAAAGTACTTACGATTGTTCGCATAACCCTATGCCGTTTTGCTTCATCTGAGGTGCTAAACGAACGTGACACGGCTATTTCACTCGGTGGATTCACTTCTCGTGCAATATTTTGTTTTTCGTATACTTAGTCGCCCTTTATTTACCGACCTCAGTATATTTCCGTTGCTTCCAGAAAGCATAATTATCTTATAAACTACCTCTTTTTTCACAGTTTTGACTAGAAAAAGGTTTATCCGGTCTCGTGAAACTTGATGTCTTAGTAGCCATATTGCCATAATTAAACCTCGTAACTCATTGCTGCAACACGTCGACCTTTGTCTAGCTGTTAATTCCGCTGACACAATTTCGTCAGAGCGATTGTACCTTAAAAGTTTCGTTCCTCCAAGCATCTGAAACAGCCACACAGGATCACGATTAACACAGGAGAGATTCGTTATACTCAAGATTTACTCAACAGATATATAAGCTACCCAACGGTGACTTAATTTTGATTTATATACTATCTCTTGATATCCGCTCGTGGGGTATTTTTTAGGAAGGGTAAGTCAATTATATATAAATTTTCTGCAGCCTAGTATTAATAACACGAATTTTGAACTACGTCAAGATAAAATGCTTCATTCAGTTTAAATTTACTTGAGGAAGTGTTTAAAATGCTTGTATATCATTTTAGCAATGTAAACTAATTTGTTCCATCAGTTAGTGTTAACGCACCATAACTTTCCAGTCGTTTTACGTGATTAAAAGCATAGTCGTGAGGAATCTTGGATTTTAACTAATGTTGTTTTCCAAGGTTTTGAGTGTCAAAGTTATTATAAAATTCCCTTTTTTGTTTCTATTGATTGCCAAATATGTATCAATATCAATGTAGTTGTGCATATTTTTTGTGGTTTTATTAAGCTTTCGGATCAGTAACCGATATATCTTAAAAATGAGTGTCTTGCACCAACCAATGAAATGATGCATAAGTCAAAGTCTAATCAGGTGCTGCAAGTTGAGCATATTAAAGAGCTCCACGATCATTGGACTAATTGCAAGTCATTAATTGATGAAAAGGATAATGGCGTTCTATCTACTTCCAAAATTGACACCGTTTTTCACCATGTCAGTAAAATTATACTACTAGTTGTTGATGAGCACTCTTCCGACAGTAAGTCTTATCTGCCCTAATTTGATCGTTAACTATATTAAGGGTTTATATCTAAATTACAGCACAACAAACCATCAAATTTGACCCATACATTTAGTACCTTTTTGAATAACATATTCGCTTGTAATCTAACGCTATTGCATGACTTTATGAATAAGTCCAAAGTGATTTCACTTGGATAATTTGCATTCCCGATTTATAACTTTCACTAATTATCCGCATACTTCTGTTTTTATTATGATACTTATCTATTATTGTTAGCGTTTTGAGGTTTGGTCCCTCCAAGATTGAAAATAAATCTTACTAATAATTACCAAGATCTAACAATATAAATCGTTATTTGTATTGTTTACTATTATAAACAATTTTTTTACGTAATAGAATTGTGATATCAGTCTACCGTGATATTACACTCTTGAGAAGATTTAAGAAATGATTTATCTTGCTTACTGGCTCAAGAGTCGCAGAACTATACTGCGTAGTTAATGAGTGCTAAGTGATATTCTTATTTTCTTTATATGACCAAGTATTAGCTGTTAAAGTTCAGAATCCTTAGAGACCTGCTAACTGTCAAGATAAATGACGGTTTAAAAGGTATACAATAGTCCCTTGATATCATATAGTTTGATTTTATAGTTTGGTGTAACGAATTTTCAATTTTTAAAGTGAAAGGAAAGAATAATTGACAGACAAAATACAATTATAGGAAATAACCGAGTGATAACTGATTACGGGACCAGATTCTTGGTAGGTCCCCGAATAATTTGAGATTGTGAACAATATCATTAGCTATAATAGGCCTTTATTCTAATGAAAGAACATTTTTGTACAAAATATTAACAGAACAGCATGATTAAATATTAATAACGATTGTGCTAAGTAAATTTTGTATATCTTTGATTCTCCAATTAATTCAGTTCCAGCTTTTACAACTAATTATAATCCTAGCTAACCAGTTATCATTGCATTTATGGTTAATGCTACCGTGTGATGAACTCAAATAGTACTTATCTTCATAAGAATACTTCATGTTTTCTTTGTCATTGTTAATGGAACAGCTTACTAGGTTATTCCGGATGATAAGTAGGTTAAAGGGACGTCATTGCCTCCTGGTTAACTGTTAAATCCAGCTTATGCATACAGTTTAATTAAACTTGTGGTTTAATCTACATAATTTGAATAAAGATTTCTGATTGCTCGCTGAATAGTTTAAACCACAAGCGTATGAAAGGTTATTTTGAAATCACTGTGTAGTCTGGCTGCTTCATCCGTTGGTTTTAGTGAATGACCTGATAAGCTCTGCTTGAAAGCAAACGTCACCACTAATATTCTGTTAATTTGCACTTCTTGTCGATTCTATATTTCGTCTACAAATTTAAATGTCGAGTTAGCTTCCGATCTACGGACTTGGTGCTTTCGTATTCTTACTTCGAGATGGGAATCTGAGAAAAGTATTAATGTATGAACACTACCGTCTTCAGAGTGGTATTCGAACTCAATAACTAGGTATTAGTAGGGTCATACCTAACCAAGTTGGATTATATAGCACAAAAGACGTGTGCTTGATCTTAATTTGAGTTAAAATAGATTTTAATGCTTTGGGAAAACTTTTATTCTATGGCTCTAGGCATCTAATCGACATTACCTTTTATATTACCAGTCGAACCGGTTGCCTATTTCATGAATTTGCATATTGACTAGTGAACAACAGTCAAGACCTTAACGCTTATTGGTCCTCGAGCCTCTCCTAAACTAGTAGCCAGTTAGAAAATGCGGATAAATAGCAGATCAATTCTCTATTGTACTCAATTCGATTGTTACTCAAAATATGCAGTAATACATTTGAAATGCCTGATCACACAGTACATCAAATGAGAAATCACACTTTAAGCACAATAATATCATGAATATTAGAAGGCAGAAGAAACTGCATAATTAACTAGCAATAGTTAGAGAAAAGTTAAACGTACAACAACAGCCAATAGATTCACTGAAAGCTTACAATAAGAGAAACTTAGAAATACAATAATAAGGTTATCTTCTAATTATATAGTAAAGACATAATAATGATCCGAAAATTAGCGCCGAAAACCTCAGCTCCCCTAATATTCGTCCCACCATAACAAGCCTTTTCAAACTTGTTCAATCTGTTTAAATTGCTTATATTTTTATAGTATGGCTCCGTATCATCTGAGTCATAGTATATAAATCCAGTTTATTTAAGAGCCACCATATACTAGGAAGGAAGAAAGGTAATCTGAATCTTAACTAGATCTCGGTAAAATATTTTATCTGTTTATTACTGACTAGATTCATGGGTGATTAAGCTACTCAAGTTTAATATCGTAGTTTGGTGTCTGATGTTAGTGGTAAAACAGAACAATCCAACCAACTTCGAGTCCTCATATTTGGTGATAAACTACATTTGTTTTATGAGGGCTAGTAAACATGTATTAAAACTTAAGTGTGTTGGGCGTTGTTTTAATCTATGACCTGCACACCTAAACATCTGGGTCTCTGGTTCATATTAAGGTCAGTCGGTTGATGTCATGAACACTAATCTAAAGGTCAAAGTATGTATCATTTTTTAAAACCCATTTTACTTTTGTAGCTTTAATTTACCAATGGATTTTATTATTGGAACCTGTTTTATGTATTTTTTAAGCTCTAGAAAGAAACAAACTAGTAGAAGGTTCATATCTTGAAACAATAATAAGAAATAATATTTTTGAATTACTCCTCATTTGGATCGAAGGAAATCCAACACCAAAAGATGAAAAATCTATCAGTACTCGCGATGTGTTAAGAAGACATTTAATCACTGCTTTTGAACAGTTAATAACACAATCGAAACAGAATGTTTTGCTTTATAGACCGATTCTTCAACCTTTGTGCCAATTTTTATTCAAATTATCCTCACAGTTACGGCCTAGTTATGATCAAATCTATGGGCATTTATTACATGAAGTTTGCATCTTGTTATGTAGAAACTTTCAGTTGTTGGAGTTTAGTAAAGAAGTAAGTTCTTGGTAATTTTATATTTACTTATTTGTGTGTATATGTTAGAGATCAAATTGTTAACTTCTAAAGAGACTAGCTTTATGTGGTTAAAGTTCATCAGTTAAAACTCATTCGCTTTAATATGATGAGCATGTGGTAGCTGGGGGATTAGTTACAAATGCCAAGTCACCACCTAAATGAGTCTGTGATGTTTGTTGAAGTATAACTAAATTGGCATAGCACTGAAGATGAACAGATGAATCAGATCATTGAAACTAAAGTCTGTCTATTTAAGTATTGTAGTTAGATGTCATAGTTTCCCAATATGGCAAATCAGTGGTACTAGACCATGAGTGACATTGTTTAGAACGGATTCTCCTTCAGTCCTAATGATTTTAATATTCGTTTGTTTTTCCCTTCTCTCCTGCCCCCTGTTTAGAAATCCTTTTATTTCTGTATTCTTTAAATATTTATACTTCATTCCGGAGTGTGATAAATTGAACTGTGTTACTTGTGGGAGACATTCTAAATTATTATACCTACTATTATCAGTCCTTCACTTTTCAAGTAATCTAGGAAGTATCTTTAACGCTCACATTATTAGGAATAGCTATCACTTGTATACGAATCTGTAAGTAGCTAATGAGTTCCTAGTAACCTACGTTTTTTAAAATTTTAACATATATAATTATGAAAAAAAAATAATTGTAGTAGTCATTATAGACTTACTGATGCAGGAAAACCTTATTTAGCTGTTTTTTAGCCCTATTCATTTTCAGATAGTTTTGATCACGAACTTTGATGAGCTAGAGAACCACTGTAAGTCAAAAGCATTAGACGACTGCTTCATCTTTGTGCTTAGTTTCTCAACCCCTTGCATCTACTTTCTTTACACGGAATCGAGCCTAGAACTATGACGTACAACCTGTCTAATGTTTCTTGGTTTCCAACAGAATTTCAGCTCGATTCTATATTACGGTAAAAGTTACTGTTCATCTAGTTATGCTGATTGTTCTAGGGTAGATAGAACTATCAGTGGGTATTCTGTAAATTCCACACGTCTTCCATTCTTTATTAACATTCTATCTTTCTTATTTATCATCAAAAATATTCAACTGTAGACTTTAACTTTAGACTATTAACTTAAGCGTTTGGATAAAAAAATCTGAGTTCGGTTTAAATTCAGGTCTCATATTTCTGTCATCACTATTGGACAAAATCTAAATTTTAACAAAGATCGACCATCCGTCGTAATACACTTCCACATTTTTAACATGAATAGTAAATCAACCAAACTATTGTGACCAATGGATAAATTGGATGAAATAGTATTCATCTTAGTTTTCATGAATAATCTTTCAGTGTTTCATACGGTATACACAAGTACACCGTCTTTTTAAAATAAGTTAATCGAAAATACTATATCAGTCAACAACAATTCTTCAACATCTCACACAGTAGGTATGTTGGATGTATTTGAAGAATATTTGTCAGGAAGAATAATTGCCGATGGACTGGAAAGAAGGACACCCCATCAAGAAACCAAAGTAAGGAAATCTGAGCAAGTGTGGGAACTACAGAGGCATCACACTACTGTCAGTACCAGGAAAGGTTTTCAACAGATTGTTGCTGAACCGGATGAAAGACTCAGTAGACGCCCAACTTCGAGATCAACAGGACGGATTCCGTAAGGATCTGTCGGGCACAGACAAAATCGTGACATTACGGATCATTATTGTGCAATCAATTAAATGTGATTCGTCACTATACATCAACTTCCTCGACTATGAGAAGGCGTTTGACAGTGTGGGTAGGGGGACATTATAGAAACTTCTTCGACACTATGGAGTACCTGAGAAGATCGTCAGTATTATCCGGGCTTCATAAGACGGACTGTAATGCAAAGTCGTGCATGGAGGACAGCTGACAGATGCATTCAAAATAAGGACTGCAGTCAGACCAGGCTGAGTACTCTCCCCCTTCCTCCTTCTTCTAGTGATTGGCTGGAATATGAAGACCTTGACATCAGACGGGAAGCATCATTAGGTCTCAACATACACGAAGGAAAAAGCAAGATCATCAAATACAACAGAGAAAACCAGCGTAATCACACTTGATGGAGAAGCTCTGGAAGATGTGGAATCTTTCACGTACCTGGGCAGAATAATTGATAAAGAAGCAGAATCTGATGCAGATGCAAAGGCACGGATTGACAAAGTAAGAGCAGCACTTCTACAATTGAGGAACATATGGAACTCAAACGGACTGCCAGCCAACATCAAAGTTGAAATTTTCAATGCAAACGTTAAGACAGTCCTACTGTAAGGTGTTGAGACCTGGGGGACTACCATAATCATCGTCAGAAAAGTACAGGTATTTACAAACAACTGTCTTTTAAGCTTCTAAATTCCTGACAACTTTCTTTGTGTTTTTACCCCACTAATTTATATTTTCTAGAATCGTATCTTCGTTGCCTATTTTTTTCAATTACCACTTATTTATTTATTTAAACACATAAATATTGGTACCAAGGGGTACCGAATACATATGCACCACAGAAGTTACTTGGTTTGTGTGTGGGCTGTGATACTACCCGGGTGCCCAAACCAAAGCAGGTGGTTTTCTGAGGGGGCCATACTCAGAGCCTTCGACCTAATGGTCTGATCCACAAGGCAATAGAGAAACGTAAGGAGATGCAGTCCTATAATAGCCGGTGACCAACGATTGGCTCATACAACATTTGTTCCCTCAGGATTCTGGAGCCTATGTGCACTGTTGATTTGGAATTAGGGTTTTAGAACTCTCCTAGGTGGATCCTTCAAATCGACCAGCCCGGTTAAAGCGCCTGACATTCGCTGTTTGTCCTCTCGATTTCGTAAACAACAGTAATGCCGCGATAAGGCAGTGAGTAGGACTTCCTCACGTCAGGTGTCGTCCGGTGAAGCAATGTACCGTGTTATTCACCACTCATGCTTTTACTTCCTTTACTATTCTGGGATTTGACCTGACAATTTCGTCTATCTGTTTTAGTGAGATATGGACGCTTGAACCGATGTACTAAGGTTCTACGTTGCGACTGACTGACTGATTTGTGATTTTAAATCATTGATCATAATCATGAATTTGGATATCTTTATTGTTTATTTTAGTTATGCAAAGAAATTTTCAACCAACCGTATATGATATTTTCATTGCTTGTTCCATTAGTACATCGAAATGACCCGTTGGGGGATTCGGCTAGAGATTCACTCTTAATCATATTTGGACTTTCTAATAAAGATGATTGTCTTGGTCAATATTTAGCATATGAATCTGATATATGTCCGGTAAGCTGGTTGTGGTTATATAAGGCGTTATCTCTGAACTCAGGTCTGTGTACTACTTGTTTATTAGTTGCATTTTTGTTTTTACGAGGATCTATGGTGTGATGTCTCCTAGGGATTTAACGTTTCGTCTGTAATTCTTTCCTATATGTGCGATTTATTAACTCCAGATTTGTGTACGTATCTTTGAGCTGCTTTGGATGAGGTGTAATGGCACTTTTCGGTTCCTCAAATCGAATTACGTGGGTCGGGGTTTAAAAGGATATATTTCAGCACATCATACAAACGGTTACGTTTTATTAGATCATATTTACTAGTTTATGAATGTACGAACACATTGAAGTTAGTGAGTGATCGTTCAAAGTATGCAATAGTGACTGAAGAAACACAGGCCCATACCACTTCAAATTCACTGGGATTATGGAAATTTAATGAAGTTGGGTGACAGACAATAATCCTTTTATAACTTGTTACATAATAAAAATGGGTCGTGCAGTTTCATTCAAAGCACAAATTTCCATATAGAAAAGAATTCAGGACTATATATGGAGTTTCACCAACCCTTTGTTAAAGTTATTCATTCTTAGCCCGAAGAACCTCCTTTGAGTCATTTTTAAAATTTCATTCTGTTGGTAAAAGTGCGACATCTAAACATAGAATTCTTTTCTTATCATCAATACATATCAACGCACTAAGTAAGACTATATGCCTACTACTGGCTATTTCATGACGAATATCCTGAAGTTATGATGGAGACCAGATATTATATTGTAACCTTGTGTAGTGTTAACTTTACAACTAGCTAACAAATATCATGTTTGTTTAGTCCTTTAGTACTGATCGAATTATATCGGTCAACAAGTTACAATATGTCCACCAGTCTAAGTGACTTGACACATCGCCTGTACTATGTCAAGATGTTAGATGGTTGGAGGTATTCGACAGGAGGCCCTGTATTGCCACAGGTTTCGTACCAGTTTGTAATCGTCGGCAAGGTGTACACGAAGTCGTAAGGGACCTAATACTCTGTGTGGGCTTTGGACCCACATCAAGCAGTTGCAACTTGATCTCTGGTATTCGATCTGTGTCAAAAGACTAGTCAAACATGACATTGGCCACTACGTAGTAATCATCCAGTTTTAAACATCTCAGTTCTACATGAGGTAAGTCTTGGCCTGAATAGCTCAGTGGCAAGTTTCACTCTGGGAAAGTGGGTGGATCTAGTTCTAGTTCCACGCGGAACACCATTTCCCTGAAGTCTGAAGGCACACCTTGCTGACCTAGCACCAGGGTTACTGCAAATCATTTGTCAAGTATAAGCTTATGTATTAATCTTTAAGCCATTTATGCGCGAACCTCAAATGAAACTAACTAGCTGTTAAAACCTAAATGAGTGCATTATGTGTTTGACCTGCTAACTCAGTAGTTAAAAAATCAAGCTCTTTAACCAGTTAGCTTTTGCCTTGTTATGTAGAAGTAACTAAATTAATAATGTATGTATTTGCAAATAGGGTTGTTTTTGTTAGAGCCAGGTTAGTTTTCCAATAAAATGGTGCATACAATGTCACTTCTGTCTTATCGTAGTCCGTCTGTTATAATATTGATCATATTTTTCTTCATGTATACGTTCAGCCGATATTTGGGTGTGTCTTCTGTTAATCTTGTCATAGCACAATTAATTGGGTCGGAATTATGTATTGGCTGTTTTTTGTTTTGTTTTGTACTTCAGATTTTAGCTACTGGTTTAAGTGGTCTGTATTCTAGTCTACCAAAAAAGTTAGTTCCACGTTATGGGCTATGTCAAAATCATAACGGTAATATTTCATTAAATTCTCCCGGAGGTCCAGTTTCTGTAACTACGCCAATCTATATTCAATCAGATTTACTCAACCCATGTCTGTTGGAATTACAAGTCGGTGGAGCTGAATGGCATCAAATAACCGAGAATGAATGTTCCAATTCAATCGATCTACGCCGATTTTTACATACATTACATTTTTGTAATCTGACTATTAAAGTAAGAAAGATGTATGCGTTTTCTAGTTTATTTTTTACTAACATTTTTAAAACCTTTAGCAATGTTTATGCCTACTGCATTGATGGCTTAGATTTCATTACGCAAGCGTTTCTCTTCCATGCTAGACATGATCCTGATAGAATAATTTTAGAGAAAAATTAACTATCTCATTGACACTTATACCGTCGTCATTGTTAGTAACTAGAAGTCTTTTTTATCTCATTGAGAATGACCTAAAAGCCCAAATGTTTAAACTTAGATTAACTACTTTAGTGCTGTTACTGTTATCACTTAGTTGAAAGCAATCGACAAAAAGAGACATTTCAAGTGTACTAAACAGTTAAAGAGTGAACAGACGTAATAAACAGAACTCAAACAAATGACTTTAATTTGTTCACTACTAGAAATGCAATTATATGTTACATACATTTCGGCCCTACGTATTTGTGATTAAACGATAGCTCCTGTAGAGCTAGTTGAATAGACCGTACTCAAAGAGGCTTATCATTGCGTGCTCGTGAACTTGTTCTAGTATGGTTGGAAAAATGATTTACGAAATCTGTTAACAGCACCATCCTTCCTCACTTGATAGACAGTGAACAATACATTAAAAGATTATTTCTTTTCGTTTTTATATTGACCCCCAAATAATTCACATAAATTAGCAAGATTACGGCTCTTCTATATAATGAAAGTTATCAGGATTAACTCAAAAGAATCAAACTTATGTATACATCAGAGGAATATTTAATCTTTCTTTTTGCTATGGTCCACCATTGCCTCATCAATCTTCGTTCTGTCCCATTCTTGATTTGTTCATTGATGTTTCTCAGTTCATATCAATTACTCTGACAACATTTCTCTTATTGCATGTTTTATTCACATGACTGAATTATTATTATTATCTCAATAAATCAGACATTTCTCTTACTGTGCATTTCCTCCACATGATTTATATCGATTGTAGCTCGACAGTGTACAACAAACTTACCTACTCCTTTTCTTAAATGACCTTTCAAATTTACAAATGGCATTTTTAACGTATATGTGATTTAATCTATGCTAAAGTTCACATATTGCATAGTTCACTTACAACTTGTCTATATATACCTCATTTTTGACATTTGTATTACAATAATTATGGATTTATTACTGTAAAGTCTGATGATAATTTTATTAAGAGCGATCGTTTGTTCGAACATTCTTTGTCTTGGAATACTACTCTATAAGAGGAATCTTTCAACTAAAGTGACAGCTTCAAGTATAGATATCATATTTTGTTCATTTGTTTTTTTTAAAATATTTAATCATCCCATGGTCACTATTGACTTCAGTCTCTGTGAAATATAACTCATGTATATTTTACAAATTGGTCTCTCTCATCTTTTGATGTGTTCTTTTGGAATTATGTTTTTTAGATTGGAGTGAGAATTATACATAGAGAAGGCGGAATATGTTTAAAGTTTTGTTATTTTCTAGAATAACGACTGTGATAATGTTTAATGCCTTCGTACTAGTCATAGTGTTGTAAAATAAAATTGCTCCTTTTATGGTAATGTTTGATTAGCTGATTAGCAAGCGATATATACCAATCCAGGTCCCAAATAGGACGAAACACACGTCCTGGATTCCACTGCTAGCCATCATTCATCTTTTTTTTATAATGCTTGTGACTTAAGGCAATATCGAAGCAATCCGTACAGGATGCCAATAAGGAACTGATCAATTGAAATCCTAAACATCAATGGGAAGATTCAAACAAATAATACAAAATGAATATACTAATTAATGCTTACAACTTGCTAATTTAAATTTTTGGAAATTTCATTATTGGTTAACAGTTTGTAATGCACTGTTGTAAACAAGAAAACAAGAAGCCCCGACAAACTACGAAAGCTATTTTTCGGGACGTTATTCCATTTTATTCAAAGCTTGTAAAACACTGACATTTATTTTTGTCCCTAATCTATTCTACAGAACATAAGCTTTCGTCCGATGTTTGATTCATTGCCATACCCTTTTCTGTTCCGAAGCTATTGTAATTTAAACATAATATTTTGCACCCTATTTTCTACGCTAATTCCCAGCATTGGACATAATTGTATTTTTCCTAATTATTGTACTTTATGGTCGGGTTATTCACTTACTTATTCATGTACCTTTTGACACTAACCCGAACTGAACTGAAATCAGGATATCGGGAATAGATCGAGTAGTGTTCCGGTTGTCTTGTCTTCTCTCATTCGCGTGCTTGTCAGCCAATCAGGTGATGGAATAGTTTCCTCTGTACCCCACTTCGAACTCACGCGTACTAGCCTCAAGGTTAGGCCGGTCAGCCTATCGCGCCAAGGTCATAATCTGGATTAGGTAAGTATCCTCAGCACCAAGAGTGAGTAGACAGACCAAAGGACATAACATGCAACTTGTTCAATTGTTTTCTTAAATTATAGGATTAAATAGTATTGCGATACCTTAGTCAAAATGGTCAAATAATCTATGCTAGGGATTACGAATACTTCCAGCTAATATCTTTTTATCTTTTGTAGTAAATGGTGTTAGTAGAACTGTTATTTGGCTCATATCTACAAAGTTATTATATTTACCAGTCAAGCTTATTTTTATATACCTTTTTTTTCTGTTTTTTTTTATTTAGATTGCACATCCTCATGTTCGTGATCAATTACTATATTTTATTCATTCTGGATTCTTGGTTCCTGTTTTAGGATCTGCATTACATCAGGTATGTTTATTGTTGCTCATTTATTGTACAACGTACTGCGATTGTCGTAGCAGTTCGAACCACTAAGTAACATTGTTAATATTTTTATAATAAATGTTGTTTACGATTTCTTACATCAAATCTTATATGGTTACTCTGCGTTGCATTTCGGTTGTACAACTGTTCAATTGTAATTAGAAGTTAAGTAAACTAACATCTACAATTGACAGGATGTTATTTAATCTTGAACTATAAATTCCAAACTAATTATGGTTTTTTAAGTTACTGGTTTGTAGTGTTGATGAAAAAAGCTGAGATTCTTCACAATATATTCGATAATGACTGATATGTCTGATACTTGAATCTTTGACATTGACTTTCTTATTGCATCATGTTCCTTCGGTAATCTATATAAGACAATAAGTGAGATTTTAGTTTTAACAGTAGTTTTTGTACAGAAAACAATGAGATTTCTAGGGTTATATGTAACTTTTCCTAAGTTTCTGGAAATATGTTAAAATAATAACAAAATTGGTAATTATTCAATCAGGATGTTGAGAAATATAATTCATTGTCTTTTTAGAACTGAGAATTTGTATTGAACGCTGATTGAACTAAGTATTTTCATTCATTCCTAGCTTTTAATGACTTTCTCGATGAATTCACTATGATTCTCGATAGGGAATGTAGTGAACAGTAACACGAGTGGGGACAATCGGATGTGTTGGGCACGAAATTGCAGAGCATCTCAATGAAATCTGAGAACCATATAGTAAATAATTAGTTTGCAAAATATCAATCCATCGTCTGAAACTTGACTGTTCCTTTTACAAATATCAGTCCATTGTTTCAGATTTTATTGTTCATGCATTTTTATACTAATTACACTCTGTTTCCGTTCTTTCCTTATCTATCTTCTACTGAAATATATTCTGTGCCTGACCACCGTTATATACTACTTATGTGGTAATAAGTAACCCACATCACAGTGACTTTGAATGATTATAGTTTTTATTCTCTTTCACTTAAAGTTTAGTTTATTTTTTTATACAGTGACTTATTGAAAGTGGTTTTCTAACTACTGTGCAATGTTAAAGTTGTTTGAAATAAATTAAAATATAGATGAACTTGTTATTTATTCCCTAAAGAGCATAATAAATGAACGGGAATTCAAAATTCAAACTTACATTATACCTAAAGCAGATTCTAACTGTTCTTTTTGGGTTTTACAGTGAACTCTTTGCTTTAGTTAACTAAGAAGAAGAGCTGTAGTTCAACTCAAATATTACCATTACTACTATTTACAATGTAGATGATTGCCATTTGTTGATTCTCTAGAACTTTCTGTTCTCAGTTGTTTCAGGTTATAATGTGTACTTTTTCAGAATATCGTAATTGGACGAACTTAAGTTTGTGCTGCTGCTAAGCCTTAAATTAGAATGAACAACAGTCTGATGCCTTTTATATTATCACTATACCCTATCTTAAGTTGATCTTGTTATGAATTCAACTTCTATCTTCTCACCTAATTTGTTTAAGCCTTGGTGATGAGACCGCTCACGTCAAGTAACACTAATGACATTCGCTTCACTTTTTGTATCCACTAAGCATGTTAACTCAGATTTATATATATATATATATATATATATATATATATATATATATATATATATATATATATATATATATATGACTTCCTACCTTCTATCCCAGCCATCTGATTTACTTTCTATTATGTGGTCCAAAAGATCTTAATCATATGCATAAATTACAAAAACACAATACGCCAACTAGTTCACGCTCTTAACATAACTTTGTCGTTCGTGGTACCAGATTGAGTAACAGCTATTCAGTTAGTTAGTTAATCCCGTCCAACTAAGTACGAACGCCTATCGGCTACTCGAGAAAAGAAATATCTTTAGTAAAGATGTGCAAGACTGGAGCATTGAAGATAGCAAAGGTAATTGCCACGTTAGCAGCTTACTTTGGTATAGTTCATGTAGATTGAGGATTTCGATTCAACCATACTTTATGAAGGAGACGGACACATTACTTGTTTACTTCTGTATAACTGTACTGGGGGCACCCTTATCAGAAAACTTTATAGTAAGCCATGAGCTTTGTGAGCGATAATGTGTACATCAGTATGAAATGTGGATAACGCCGCAAGTATACATTACATGCATACATATGATACATAAACCAGGGCCTATACACTCCATAGTATTGTAGTAAGCCCATTCAACCATTGTATTATTTGTCTACTCACTGTAATTTAGACACTTGAGTCCCTATGTTTATTTCTTTGTGTGTATGATTGAGCACGTGTCTGCACATCAATCTTAATCTATTCTCTCATTGGTTATAACACGCAGATAATCAATAATTTATCCACACTTGATTAACACTCATAAACATATATGGATTTTTTTAAACTCACACTCACACTCTTTGTTTCACTGTGTGCTTGCTTGCTGTGCGCTTGTGGATTTTATTCATCTTTAACAATAAAATATCTCTACAACTGGTGTTCAGGCTTCTGAATAATCTCGAGTAAATCCATAATTCTACCAGGAGACTTAGCCTACCTTAAATACTCAGTTAACGGGATATCATTTATTGGAGTAGATAGAGGGGAAATTTGCATCTACAGTATACACACGGGTGTGAGTCTAATTTGCTTTTGTTGCCTCCAGGCTAGAGCCCAGTTACGGTGGGAAATGATTAATGTACTTGCTTTCAAGTCACTTGATTAAATTAGTCTGTTTATGATCAACTCTATGCTCATACCACAAATAAGTTGAGTGTCGAATCTTATGCTTTGGTTACGACACAGTTGATGGTCATCGCTCTGGTTTTTACCAAACCAAATGAGGCATCGTAGAGATAATCTGGTCAGGCGAAAAACGAGAAACTTATTCTTTCAAGTTCCGAATATCACATAAGTCTTTATCACAAGCCCTTCATGTAATCTATGTTTACGACGGAGTGGGGGACTCGTCTGATCTGCACTCAGCCACTTACGTTCATGGATTAAAGTTTCACTTTCTTCAGGGGGACTTCGAGGAAGTGTGAGTAGGATTTTATAAAATTGAGTAACAGGGGAATAATTAACTATAGCCTATGATTAACTACCTAGTTGGAAACTTGCAATTAGGGCGATATAAAAGTACCGTAAATCAAATATTTACCACATACATCATTGAAATGTTTATTGTAATATATCCGTAAAATAGTTCTCAAAGTACCATATGCCACACTTATTCATATGTAACTAATAAGTATGTGATTAAAATTGTATGTATATATCTATGTAATAGTTACTATCGCTTTTATTTAAAGAGTGCTATGGATGAAGTAATTGCAGCTACAGCTTATCTGGAATTGTTTTTACGTCGTTTAACTGAACCTTCAATGATTAAATTATTTCTGAAATTCATTATCACCGAATCACATGATTCTTATCATATACTCACATCGATTATGAATCGTTTAAATGCAAACGCTATGGTAAGTGCTTTTTTTGTTCACATTATGTAATTACACAGATATGTTGTATTTGTTTATGACTGTGATCGAAAAAGTCTTTTATTTTTCATCACAGACTAGTATTAGATAGTTGGTTGTTTCGTCCAAGTTTATAACTTCCTATGAGTGCATGCTTCTGCTATCCCTATGCACCAGAGTTCTTAAGTTTATTATTATTATATTATTTCGTCGTTTACATTACAAAGTGATCTTAGTTATACAACTATTAAAAACCAGAAATCACTCTATGACTATTTTGTCCCAACATAATACTCAGGAGTTGTCAGCACTTACTACTACCTCCCCAAGGAGTTCTAGTGCGAAACCGTGACCAATAAAGTCTCAATGTGTGCATTGTGAAGCTAGACACATAAACTAATGGGTGTCAGGATAAGTAACCTAAGGGTTAACCACTCGCAGCGCAACTTAAATAATCTGCGTTTGACCCCCCACAAAGTCGTGGTAACTCATCAATTAGAAATTACATGCTAAGAATAAACAACTGTCTAGTATTTTCTCGTTTCTAATGGTTATCTAACTAAGGTCAGTTCGTGATATAAAATATAAAATATTTTATTCCCTGAATCAGTAGTTAACCCATACGGTAATGTTATTCGGATACCTGTATTTTTATAGAAGTGATGCCCAAAACTAATTATTCACAGATTATTTTCGTTCTCAATGTAATCGTGTAGTTTTCATTAGTTCTTAGTTGTTGAAAATCAGGAGTCGTATGTTAATTATTTGTGGTAGCGTATTCTTTACAATTTGGCAGGTTAAAATTAATCGTTCTTTAAAAGAATACAAAGTCTTTTTGTGATAGTACTTTATATGGAATTAGAGGAAAATGAAAACATCAGCAAAAGTTAAATTGTATGTAAGAATATTCTACAACAATTAACGAAGTAAACAAAAATGAAAGATCTTTGAATTGTATTATTATTTACTTACTTACACCTGTTACTCCCAATCGAGCATAGGCCGCCGAACAACATTCTCCAACCCACTCTGTCCTGGGCCTTCCTCTCCAGTTCTATCCAATTGTTGTTCATTCTTCTCATGTCTATCTCCATTTCTCGGCGTAATGTGTTCTTTGGTCTTCCTCTCCTCCTTCGGCCTTGAGGATTTCATGTGACGGCTTGTCTTGTGACGCAGTTGGGTACTTTCCTCAATGTATGTCCTATCCACTTCCAGCGCTTCTTCCTGATTTCCTCCTCCACTGGTATCTGGTTTGTTCTCTCCCATAGTAGATTGTCGCTGATAAGGAGTATTATTATACGATATAAAATTAAAAAAAGACATTTCATCCTTAAGTTAATTTGTAGTCGAATTCTGTGTTTTGCAATTTATCTAAATCGGATAAATTTTGTTACCAACGGAAACTTAATATTGGATACTAAAAGTTTATTTGTCACTTTGTGCTTTTTCCTTATCTTCAACAGAAATATAAAAAAAAATTTCGACTGGTAATTGTAATGTAATGAAATTCTATTTTTTATTTTTCTCAACTACGACGCATTACCATTTCAGTTACAGATATACAATTTTAGTCGGTTTAAAATCATTATCCATGCATAGTGATACAACCAATTGAATAAATCATTGTAAGAGCTTGCTTTAGGGTTGTGATCTAGGAGGTTGTAAATATTTATTTACTGAATTAATCAGTACACTATAAACTACTATCTGTCAAAATGTTTAATTCTCAGCGAACGTGGTAGATTCCCATTGCGGTTAGTTCACGATATGTGACAAATGTTGTCAATAGTTGTTCTTTACTTTTCTATAAAAAGGTAGTAGTTCTTTAGTTATTTGAAATACATAGTTTGAGATACTTTATCTGACCTTGTTAGACACTGGTATCCTCTTCGTTGTCTGTGATGTGAAAAAGTTCATGATGTCTCAAAATAACCAAAAAGAATGAATCAACAGACGAACTAACCAGTTATGACAGATCAAGAATGTAATCAAAGTCAGTTAGCTGCAACGTATGACCAGGCACATATATGAATCGGTCCAAGTTGCCACACCTCTTAAGCACAAGATGAAAACCAAATTCATAGAACTAGTTACTTCAATGATAGTAATACATAAAAGAAAGATTGTGTATAAGGATATAATACAGGAAGAATGAATTAATTCGTATAAATAAAGGTATAAAGCAATTTTAAAAACGAAAACATAACATATCTGAGGAGAACACAACTAAGTGTATGAAGAACAAAAAGAAAAAAAAACTAAAAGAATAATTAAAGTGATGTACCGATTATTACATGTAAATAAATAATTAATTGACGTTAAATTCTATTTGTGCATATGAGTATTTGTCTAACTCTGGTGTTATTGAGTTGCTATTGATCAGTTCAACCATTCGATTCTGTCATCTCTCCAAACTTTGAATTCTTCCCATGTTTGCTTCGTCAAGATGATCTGTAGTCAATCCGGTTCTGTTATCACATACAGCTTCATCTAATTAAGCTATGAGTTACATCTCTTGTGCTGTAAGAGTTACTGACCCCTTGGCTACTCAAAGAGAACTGCTTCAAACATTGGGTGTGTTCCTTTTAAAAATCGATTTCTTAGACCACTGAGATTTTTTTCTCTTAACTTAATTAATAATCATTAAATATGACTGACCTAGTAACATATTACTTTGACTAGTCACTTATAATATTGATAATAGACTGTGTATGATCGACTGTGGTTGATCGACCAAAGTTGTGTAGCTGATTGTTAAATTGTTTATGTGTTGGTCAGTGCCATTGAGATTAGCTCCAAGTTTTACTTTTCATCATTTTCCTCATTTTCGAGGACTTGTTATGAAAGGAGAATACCGTTTTGTAGTCGATTCGCATTAATAGCCTGTTAGTATTGATTTGACTTTTATCTGAATTCGTCTGTGTTGTTATTTGTGTACACTTATGTTATACTCGAGTAATCGAAATCCCATCCGTACACTTGTAACACATGTTTAATTATGACGTTTCTAAAACGGGATTTGTCAGACAGTCAGTCAGTCAGCTACAACGTATTACCAGGCACCTATATGCATCAGTCCAAGTTGCTATATCTCATTAGCACAACATGATGATCATCAAATTCAGAAAAGTAGTTACTGCAAAGGTAGTATTATATGTAAGAAAGATTGTGTATAAGTGTTTAGTACAGGGAAAACGAATTAGAAAGAAATGTATATTGTAATTGTAATCTCACGGTTTAAGGGAATACAAAGAGTGTATACACCTATGTCATTGTGATCGATTCTGAGCCATGTCACCCAGAATCTCCAACCATTGGTTGCGATAGTCGTGCAGACCCCAACCAATTAGTCTGCATCTACCAACATAGCTCAGACTAGAAGTTAATGACTTCACACTCATTTAATAAAGAATCAAATAATTGAACTGTTATCGCCTGTATGCTTGTCAAAAACTGGATATACTGCTCAGGAGTTTATTGTGAAATACATTACATGAAAACAAGAGTTGTGTAAGTTGTAATTTCTTGATTATGAGTATCTTCGAGGCATTACTCGTATATAATAAACTGATACAGAGAGTATATCTGTGGATTGTAAACTAGCTAATAATTTTTTAAGTCACCGATTAAGTTGGTTGAAACAAGTACTACTCACATCCACTACAAATGAGATTACAGTCTTTTACTTTTCATCTTGTTAATCTTATCTCGTTAAAATTGAACGTCTGCAGTCGTGTGTACATATATGGATCAGGTCTTACACTGCATTTGACTATTTAAATGTCCAAAAACTTAGAAAAATTAGCTATCGAGTACTTCTTAGTTTTCAACAGTTCTGCGGTTGATGTCATTTCGTGGTGAGGAATTTCTTTAACACGTGATCACTGAAGCGTAGAATGGTTTTGCTCGTTGATTGCAAAAAGTGGATTTAATTGTCTAAGTGGTGGAATGAGAAGATGGATTTCAGCAGAAGAATATAATGTTTATTAGCACAACATATCTTTGAACGATCTAATCACATATTCATTATATAAACAATAATAATGTCGAACTAAATGGTTGAGAACATGTGAAAGAACTGTATGGGTAATGAGGAGAAAATACTTATTGCACCACCAGTGATTTGAAAAAAAGTTAAAATCAATATTGCCAATGTAGTTTAATGCAATTTAACCTTTTTTTTAAGTAAATCTAAATAGTCTACCTCTGTACGTCACCGCCCTTGATTACATTTTTTGGATTATGATTAGTAGGGGAGTACAATATATATGTTTTGTTTTATTTTGTACTCGTCCGCTGAATTGGCCTGTATTCCGGTATAGATGTTGGTTACATTCCTGCGCTAAACTGATAAGATGCTTTCAACTCTGATTTCAATACAGTGAACTAAAGTTCCTCTATTTTTTTCTCTACTTTACCGTTAACTATAGACCGGTTTCGTAATAAACGCTTCGTTGCTGATCACCCCACTAGAATTAAAAATACAAATTAAGTTCTTCGGTTATATATAAGTTACACTGATTGGGAGTTAATCGTTGTTACTGATTATAATCATAGCAAGAAATTAACTGAAAGTTTGTAAAGTAATGTAGTGAAAATGTTTTGAAAGTTAACCTTATACTCGTCGTAAATCGACATTGGTATCCTTTCTCATAAGTTATATTTGGAGGATTGTACATCATCAGCAATGTTCACAAAGGCTTATTGTTATGACGGGTGTGACTGCAGGTTTTGATACGCAGCGTTTTATTGATCGATTCGGTGACAGTGACACGTAAACACGGACGGACGGCCTAGAGTTCTGATTGGTCCCACTTCCCTGTCTAGCCCAGTTAGTTGAGTCCAGAACACAAGCCACAGCCTCGGAGATATGAATCATTATATTTCAAACATACTTTGTTTATATACCAATCAAGCACACCACATCGTACCATAAAATAGAAAACAACATTTTGTACAATATTCAACAAGTGGACAGATATCGACCAATAGGAAATGTCCAT